TGATCATGCCAAAGGAAGCCCATATCTCCAAGCTCATTATACGTCATTGCCACCTGAAGACCAAACATCACGGTAGGGGCATGCCACTACATGTCCATTCCATACGACACAAAGGATCCGAATGACTTGAGATGCTTTGCAGCTGTTTTACCTGAAACTTCAAGAACTCCCTTACATAACTTGCAGTCACAAAGAACCTTCTTAGATCGATGGAGAGCTGTTCTTTTTTTATTCTTTTTCCTTTTTGAATATTTTAGAAACTCCATCACGCGATACTCTGGATAGTTGTCCTCAATCTTCCTCGGTCTGTTCTCGGATCTTTCCAACAATCAGGATTAACAAAAAATCCCGCCAAAATACCAGTTCGGAGAGCATTTGGGCATTTGTCCGTGTAGATTGAAAATCACATCTGAACATCTCTTTGTCCTATTTTTGTTGAAAGTTTTTTTTCTAAATTGCCTCTATTGTGACAATGACTTCAATCTTAAGTGAGGATGACATTCGTGTTCTGTGCAGTATTCTGACTGAAGCGAAAGCTAAAGAAGAGAAGTCAACGGCTACCACGTCCTCAAGCAGCTCRACAWCTAACAGCACTCAGCTTTCTCCTGTAACTACTGTCCCAGTAAAGCTACTGGAAAAGAAAGAAAAAGCTTTCACTCCTTCACAACTACTTGAAAAGAAAAAGAAAAATTCCAAGTCTACAGAAGCGCAAGAACTTTTCCTGGTATGTTTAGCTTAGCAAAATGGCCGACCGGATCCTTGTTTCAGTTCAAAAATGGATCCGAACGGTTTAATTCATATTTATAGTAGAATATYGGATTACGGGAATCACGCACAAATTCTAAAGATATGCTTTTGAATTCCCTGAAATACAGTTCACTGTAAGAKCATCAGCTCAGCAAGTTGGACTGTGGGACAAAGCCCCCCGATTAAGTGCAATTCCACTTTGGTTACGTTCATGGAAAAGGTAAGACTCATGTTTATYAATGTATACCTAAAATAATTGCTTTTAAAATGGCCTTATTCAGACTAGGACCTATTAGCTAGTTTGAGGSTCAATTAATTAAATAGCTAGAACRSTATTTTGATAYCTARCTGGAAAGTTGAACGGCATCCAAAAGGAATGTCGCCGAGAACAAAGAAAACTGACAAATATAAGCTTAYGATATTGACAAATATTCTCTAAACAGCCGCTAATTYGTTAGCATTTAGTTTGATTTTAATTTCATGGATTTTCTTGTGCTTTGATCTAATAGATTTCTATTGATTATGTGTAATCATACACCCCGAGTGTTAAACTCTTTATAGCATGTTATTTTCTTTAAGATCAAGACCTAGCTGTGACCTAGCCGTTGTGACGATCAYATTGTCTTCTGGACAATAGCCTGAATTGAGATYTTTGAATTGYTACGAAGACATCAGAAAGGACAAAAYAGRAGCTAAATYAAGAAAGTTTTGTGCTGCATCTAGGCTATTCATGTTGAYTACACTTRCTAAGCGCCAGACTTGAACTCGAGGAGTTTTTTGACATTAATTTAAGGTCAYATACATAAGTGTACGCTGCCAACCATTCAACTATAGTTAGAATGTATGACATGATGACGGATATGTAGTGTCAAAAAACAACTATCTAGCTTATTTTCGTCCTAGCCTGAACAAACCCCAATGAAAATAATGTACCTCAGACCCAGGACTTCAGATGCTATAGCTAGTAGAAAGGGAGACTTAACCTGAGTATCAGGCTCTCGGGGGGGAAAAACGGAAGGAGAGGGAAAAAGAGAGAGCCTGACACGAAAGTAAATCTAAGCCATTCCGCCCGTTGTTAGACACACAGCATGTGTTAATTTAGTAGCCAATGAAAATTGCTTCCGGTTGTCACAATATCATGTCACTGTCAGAAGACGAGGCGTACCGCACTGCGCCTTGTTCAATTATGGCGCGAAATCTACGAGAACTACAGAATGGCCGCAAATCTCGAAAAATGTGAAAAAAATTGCGAAATTTGCAAAGTTAATTTGAGGACACAGCGCGGAATATATAATGCAGCTGTTCCTTTGTCTACGGAGACAGTCAACAAAGAGTTATTGAATTCTTTTGGAAGAAATCCCTTGTGCTTCGAGAGCTTCTGTTGTTTATTGGGATTGATATTCCAGCCTCGAACAATCGACGTTTTGTTTGCCTAAAGTGTGCAAGGAAGGTTGTCAATTGCTTCAAATAATTTAGTGATCTGAAAGAAGCTTTTACTATAAGCGACGAAAGCATACGTTCTCCTAAAAAAAGTGCAGAAGTTTTAAAGTTGAGGGAATAACTCCATCGGGGAAGCGCCTCAAGTCCACAGAACAATCAGAGAAAACAAAGCCTCAACGGGAAAGTAAAAGATCTCTCGACTTCTCCAAACCAGGAACAGTAGACRATGGATTAATTTCAGTGAATGAAGCCATTCAAARTTTGATGARCATTGATGTAGATCTTTGTGTTAACATACCGCCGATAGTCAAGGTCAGTCGAAAGTGTGAAATTCACATTGTGGTGTTTATATGATCGCGCTCTAAACATGCATGCATGCATTGATTGTTTATTCTTTGTTTTGTTTTTGTTTTTGCATAAAGATGTTTGTAGGCTACACAAATACTTCGCGTGTGCTGGAGAAAAGTTGCGAAGACAAATGGGAAAGTGCTATGGTAAAAAATATTTGCCGCGATAATCTTCAGGCTGCTGCGAACGCGGCCTTGGCGTTCAAGCCACTAAGACACGAAATCATAAAAGCTGTATCGAAAGAAATCAGAACAGAGCTGCGGTTATACTGCAAGGGCAGTTCTTGCGCCAGATTTAGTGGGGATCCGCTCTCCCTGGAAGCCTTTAGCAATAAGGACTTACTTGAAGAAGCACAGGAAAGAATGCCTATTGCGCATAGTATAATCACYGCTGTCACTTCGAGGAAATCATCGAAATATCTTGTGAACAAACAAGCAGCAGCTCTCTCTACATTACTTTCCACTTGGGTGCCAAGATCAAACTTTGCGTGTAGAATCAATGCTCTTTTGACGAGAGGATGTCATGGACTTTTTTCATTGTCTGGGACTTTGCAGTCATCCCAACACTATTCAAGCACAATTACAAAGTGCAGCCAATCATTTTGACAAAGAGATTGTCACATGGAAAAAAGGATCGAATCCAATAGAAAGCAAATAAAATTCTTGGAAGAAGTTGTTAAACGCCAAACTGAGGTTGGGGCTCCAGATTCAATGGAAATATGTTCCACTGACTTCTCTCTTAAGGCAGTACAACTCATTTGATCAAGACACATATGAGATGTGCAAGAGACAAATACCATCACAAAACCACATGCAGGATATATATATATATATATATTTATAAAACTCATTAATATTCATAAGGCAAAACACAATAGAAATCATAGCCCATGAAGAGAGTTGTATATTACATACAGATTTCTTGTTCATTTGCATAAACTTTTACTCTGATTTTCTCAGTCAGATTGAATTTTTTTTCAAAAGTTTCTTTAAAACCTGAGCTAATTTACCTTAACGTTTCATAAGTAATATACAATATTCGCGTGCGATCTGTATGAGGATTTAAAACAGCTCGCTTTCAGCTCGCTGTTTTAAATCCTCATACAGATCGCCCGCTCATATTGTATATATTACATATATTTTATTATTATTATTACTATTATGATAGTGATGTGAAGCCAGCGATTTCTGCACTAAGGGAAGAGAAACTTCCAAAATACAGATCAGTGAGTGCATTAATTTATTATAATAATTATAAGTGACAGATATGCTCACATTATGAACTCTAGCAATGCCAAACCCATTGGAGGGAAGAGAACAGAGAAAGGGTGTGCCCCAAAAGGGTTATTAAATATACCCCTATAATCTATGCAGTTTGTTTCGAAAAATACCATCCAGGTAGATTATCATATAWTGTATCTTTCAGAATTGTTGGCGATAATATTGATTTGGAACAATCTGCAAGAATCCAAAGCCATAAATGCCCCAACAAGTCTCTACACTRGTTTCAGATCTATGCCATCAAAGATCGGGTATCCTRCCAACCACASCTATCGGACATCTCTCAGAAAAGCTTGAAAGAGCTGCAGATGCAGGAATTTCTACCCACTGCAAATGTACAAGCACAGCTGGTTAAGGATCTGACAAACATAYTGCCTAGAATAATTATACAGTATCTTTCAGGTTCTTCTGTTTTTAAAGAAGTAGTCATTTTATCACCCATCAATACTGCAATGAAATGGCTAGACAATCTGAAGTGGTAAGTCCTAATTACGTTTAAGCAGAGTTAGTAGAGGGTACTGTGCCCTCTACTAACTCTGGTCTAAGGCAATGATGATAACCAATATTCAATCTTGAAAATCACTGTGGCACACAGAATGTCTTAGGGATGCTGTACAAAGCTTAAGGAATGTAAACTTACCAAAATCTTTGTGCTGAAGTAACATGTTAATTAAAACATTAAATAGTAATGCTAGTTTGATGCCAAATGGATTGTATTTGATGTTGATGAAATGCATTTGGGATATTGCTTGTATGTTGCCTAAACTACTAGTATTTTGCTTGCAGTGTTCACTTGGACTTGAATTCCTTAATTCTAACAAGGCTGCCGAGATGGCTACAATTTTAAAGAATCTCCATGACAAGTTCGTTCCAATGAGAGATTTGGAGGATGGAAAAAAGGAAATTYTGGAACAAATAATATTCGATGGTGATCAGCTAGCAGAAGAACGTGCAAGAAATGCCCAGATTGCAAATGTGCTTGGCGATACACCATATGAAAGGCTAAGTGGCCTGGTGACAAGCTTTGCAGATTGGCACCTAGGGATGAACTTACTTGAGGTGTGAAAACATGACTTGTATACAAAATAAGTTACAACATATAGATGACAGGAAATATTTCTTGTTTTAATTCAATAGATATTTTGCAAAGTATTTGTAAAGGAGGAATCAGCAGCAACAATATGAACTAGCTATGCTTCAATGAATCGCAATGGCAAAACTAACTCAAAAAAAGGTCCTGAAAAGGACTATAATGCTTATAAGGAGTTCACAGACAGAGAGACTGAGGCACATATTGTGGCAAAGTGGATGGAATTTGCTGGGATAAATAGTTTTGAAGGTAATAATGATAGTTGATTGGTTTGCATAGCAACTGGAGTATCTCAGATTGTAACCTTGAAATGAAAAAAAAGAGGATGGAAAAACCAAAAAAATTGGAAATATTAATATTAATTTAATAAATAAAAGTGCTGTGGTGCATAATTTTCTATTTAATAGATCTTCCCCAAACGAGGCCTATTCCAAAGGAGATTGAAAAGTGGACCCGTGAACAGAAATCAGCCTGGCTATGTGAAGAAGTGAAACAGTTCCTGGGAAGTGCCCTCTTATCAGCAACTGATTTGGCTGAAAGAGTTCATGTCCTGGATACCACTCACAGAGAAGGGTTCACTTGTCGTAGCCCAGAATGTCTTAAGGTGTTTCCCCTCCATTCAAGTAGGGTTAGGTAATTTTTGACATATACTGTATTTTTTAATATTATTTATTTATCTTWTATGTAAACAATACATAGTACTCAAAAGCAATGTTTTACTGTCAATAAAGGAGATTGCATTAAGTGACAGAAATAGTATAAACCTCTAATACTTATTATATATCAACTGTTACAGGCATAAGATATCTCATCATCCTCAGCTTAACATTGAAACTAATGGTGACTATGATCGAGATAGCTTAAGATACTACAAGTGCCGAAGTGGAGATTGCCTTTTAGTTTTCATACATTAGGAATCACAAGTATTTCAATGCTCTTATTTATTTGCATCACATGTAATTTATTCTGTTTTTATCATCTCGCCGTATGCTCACCCACAAAATTGATAGTCTTTCTCTTAATGAAACAGGTAGTCCAAAAATGGTAATTTTAATTAATAGTTTCTTTTTGAGTTGACTGCCATCCAAGAGCACTCATTTTATACTTCATTTCTTAAATCTAATGAAATTTTGTAATCAAGATAAAAATTTCATATACTGAAATATTCAACAAYTTGAATTTTCAGGCATGAAAGATTACAACACAAGAATGAATTTGAGAGCCARGGCGTACTCCCTGAAAAACACAAAAAATGTAAAGAAGATGGCATTTTCAACTATCATAATGCTCGATTACAGTGTGGCCTGATCTTCTTGAACATGGCTGATGCTATCAAAGAAGGTGATGGAGAAAGGCTTGTGAGATGATACAAGCTTATACTCCTGTTTGAGTACAAATTTAATCATACCAAATATGCATATGCCTTATTATCAGAAAAAGAGGCTACGTCACTTGTAAATAACCGTTTTGTGAACACGAAAGGATCTAAAGGAGGGAACATCCCGCTTCGCTTACATATGGAGCATCTCAATCTTGATGTCAAAAAGCTGCTTCAGGCAATGGGAGGAAAACTGACCCATACAGCAGCACAAAGATCTGCCAGAAGTATGACTGTGATGAATAAGGTCATGAACACTGTTTATGAAGAATGTGATAAATCTCATCGAGCTGGCTATCATGATAACAAAACAATCCAGGAGACKGTGCAATCCATAGCCACTGATCCATTACAAGGAAACGTTTTTGAYCATACTCCAGGGAGGGCCTACGCTTCATTCCCAAATTTTAAAAGTAMCATTCTTGACATCGATTATAGAGACTTTTTCAAATGGATACACAACCATCTGAAAGAGTGTCAAGGAGTATATGAGACAACACAAGAATGAGAAAGCAAAATAGTGGACAATTTAAAATGTACAGTTACCACATTTATTATTACATCTGTAACAAAAATACTGGGAATACAATTCAATGAAAATTATGTTTCTAGTGTGCAAAGTACTAAACACTAACACCTTGAAAAAGTCCTAACCATAGTGCTAATATAGCAAAGAAATAGTGCAATGAAAAMAATTGCATGATTCAGTTTTATCACTATTCAATCACAAAAACTTTTCACAGTTTTAGAGTTTACAGTACTTTAGCACTAGAATACTTCAAATGGCTTATAATTATAATAAATTAAAGGAAATTGGAATTATAAGACTTTGTATAAATCAGTGTTTAACTACAACATTATTCAAACTATTCAAATTATTCAATGTTTAGTGTTTTCTTTACATGTACTTCATACATACATAT